ATTCATTGAAGCTGTGATATTTCAAAGCTCACAAAAAATATATAATAAAAGAATTTTTTTCTCTTATCTTACAACTTTCAACGAGAGCAACAGAGTCCTGGAGCTACATCTCTACGTTCTTTATCACAACAAAAATACTATTACATATTCTACCTATTTAAAAATCTAGATAATTTAAGAGATCACTATAAAGATTATAATGAAAAGCTATCTCTCACTTAATCAATTCTATTGTCATTTTTTTGACGCCTAAAATTGTATTAAGATCAGGACGAAAACTACAATGTCGAAGACGATGGTGTCTAAAGCACCTTCTCCTTTGCAGATTCAGTTGTTTTGGTGATCTAAGGTGAGGAGATTGGTTCGTAATTCTTGCCAGTTGGAGACTGTTCCATTGGCTAAAGCTTAACTTTTTCTTCATAGCTGTTAGGTTCTCCCAGCGCAGACCTTGAAGAGGATCAGTGATTCTTGGTTGAACGCTTGAAATTGAAGGAATAACATAGGGTCGTCAGTCGACGGGATTCTCAGCCTTGTAAAGATCAACTCTGCTTGTGACGTCTGTCAGTGAATAACTAACTTTGTTCAATAGTGGCTAGCTTTACATAGTCTTTAAATTGACGAATCGTTTTCAGAAATTGTTGTAGAAATGTGTTTGTTGGTGAGGTAATTCAAACTTAGGTGACCCTTAAAAAAACCGATGAGATTAAAAGTTAAGTAGGGAACGTTAATACTTATAATTGCCCTAAAAAGAGCTGATGGTGAAACTTGTAGCTATTCTTTGTTATTATTCTTGGTAATGGACAGTCAGCTGCGGAGAGTTTGACTCTTATTCTAGTCCCAGTGTACGGAGACTGTACATGAGGGAGGTACGACGCTGACCAAAGAATATTTTTCTTTACGTCGTTCTCTGTATAACCAACCATTCCTTGTTAGTCAGGAGAGTCGGTCGGTAAAGTACTTGTTCTGTAGATATGCCGTTGGAACGACTATTACAAAGGAGGCCGTTGTGACTGCGCGTACTTTTTTAAGCTGTTTTCCCTGGCTCACATTTTAAGTAGAAAATTATCTGACGGCACCAAGTTGAATTGTTTAATGGCTACAAAGCGCTGTAGTGCTGCAGCAGAATATACCCTGGCTAGAAACGGTTCTAAGTATTCCGTTGGAGACGTTGACATTTCAAACGTCTGTTTTTCCATGGCACTCGTTTGTTGTCAAATGCGGGGTATTAATTGATTTATTTTGCTTGTCCATAGAAAAAGAGCGTTATCGGTAGCTGTTATGCCTAGCTACACGACGGACCATTCTGTTCTTGACATAGTACCGACGATCGTGTACGATGGTTGTATAATTGAAGGGACATATTATAACTACTCTTTACTATCTTTGGTTTCGGGTGGTTTCAATTTATTTTTGACGACACCTAGCAGATCTTACTGAACTTAATAGCGTTGGCCGTGATAGTCAAAAATTTGCTGCCAACCGCAACCTTCAGAGCGCTTCTTTATCAGCACCACCGCTGGCCAAGCTGTTAACTATCACTAATGTATACATATCATGTATGTATATATTGTTACGGGGTGGACCACGCGGATTGACGAGGCGGAGTTGCTCCACTTCGACCGGGCCTGGGTTGCCCGGATACCCAACGATGACACTCCCTGTAATATATTTTGCGAGTCTCGTTCGCCGAGACACCGCTACTGGATCAGGTATCGCGGTGACCTTGAACGTCGTCACCTCTCGCGACGACTATAACACGGCACAACGGGGGATCGGGCACACAATGAAAGGAAGTAGCACTCGCGGTTATTTTTTTGTTAATAAAAATGTATATTCAAGAAATATGAATTGATTACAAGAAAAGGTATTCGCGGGTGTGTGTGTGTGTGCGTGTGTGTGTTTAATTCTCGCACGTCGAGCGCGCTTGCTCGACGTGCTCGCGGCGCGAAAACGCGAACCGGGCAGACAACGCGGGCTAATCTAGGGCCGCTGCCCTTTACAATAAACTGCCTGTTGGCAGGTACTTACGGCGAAGCGGGGTCGCTCCCCGACGATGCCTCTCGCAGGCCAAGTCTACACGGGAGCAGTGGAGCGGTTACGCTGAGGTCAGTAGGCGTCCCTACTGGCAGCGTTCGAAGGCCGAGATCGACGGTATCGGCCTCGGTGACCCTGAGTCCGGCGTCGTCTGCTATCCCAGCAGGACCCGGACACTCAGCACCAAACACTGTACCGGGGACAGCTCAAGTACAGCCGCCACGACAACAATCGCAGGAACGGAAACACTCCAGAGGACGTGTCTCACGTCCTCCAAAACAAAAATTCGCTTCACGCGCGTTCGCTGGCCCAAGCTAATCTGATCCCTTTTCGGCTTTTTCTTCCCTTTCCATTCTTTCCTAACTGTCCTCTCCGTTTTTCCTTTTTCCTTCTTTCCCTATCGGTCCTAGCCTACCGATCATGGCTCGACGGTATCTCACCGTCACAATATATATATACCAGCGCCTTTCACCTAATGATTTGGGATTCGGGGCACTTACTAGCCACTCTATAGATGAATGAAATGTTAATTAATAACCTTAGGGCCTATCACCAAGTGATTTAGGGCGCTTACAGGACACAGGAAAAAATAATAAAATGTTAACTTATAACAAAAGCTTCTATCACCCAATAACCCAGAGCGCTAATTGGCCACTCTATTGGTTAATAAAATTTAAATAATGACCTAAGGGCCTGTCACCCAGTGACCCGAGGCTCTTACTGGACACATTAAGAAATAATAAAATGTTAACTCATAACACTAATACCTATCACCCAGCGACCTTGGGCACTTACTGGCCACTCTATAGAATAATAAAATGTTAATTGATAACCCAAGGGCCTATCACTCGGTAACCCGGAACGCTTACTGATCACACTATAAATTGATAAAATGTTGATTAATAACTCAAAGGCCTTTTACCAACTGACCCGGTTCTCTAACTGGACACTAAAATAACTAAGAAAATCTTAAATTATACAAGTGCCTATGACCCAATAACATAGGATGCTTACTGACAACTCTAATAAATATTAAGATTCTAAATAATAATACAAGCATCTATCGGCCAGTAACCCAAGGCGTTTACTGACCCTACTATTAAATAATAAATCTTTAACTATTAACAAGAGCGTCTCTATTACCATATATCCTTGTCAAATTTTACAGTTAATTAAAATAATCAATTGACGACACCGCAACCCTATTAAATAGAAGATTTTAGACTCTCCATTTCTATGTATTAGTCCAAAGAAAAAGTGTTGTAAGGGATGTACCATAAAATTGTTTTAGTGTTACTAGGGTCTAATAATTAAAGAACGATAAATTTTGAAATCTCTTGAAAATATTTGAATCGTTATTATACATTGCATCTTAAGTCATTGCATTTCTAATAAATATTATTATTAATAAATAATTGACTATAACGCTTACAAATATCTCTCTTTATAATAAACCAATGTAATATACAATAAACTAATGTTTATACTCATGTCTCTATCTGCTCCAACACAGATTGATCAGCTCTGTGCAAGATTTGTCTTGCGCGCCCATGCCCTCCCCACCCCCTCTTTCTGCTCAAAGAAGAGGGAGCTGCTGCTCGATTGGTCTTTGCCGGCGCGAGCGTACTGATTTTCCGAGTAGAGCCAACGTGTGTGCACGCCTCGACCTCCTGCTTCGCTGGGGACTCTCGAACCAGACCTCCACGTATTATCTATACTCTCTATACAATATCTGTTACGGCTGATCTGCCGATCTTGTATTTACTCGACGTCCTAATAAAGAGAAATTTAAACATTGGTCTTTCAAGCCGGATAGGGTGACTGGGACAGACAACCGCCAGAACCTCATCAAGCCCAGGACAGCCAGGACCACGGTGCTACGCAAAGCAATGTAAGTAGGACGATGTGAGATACGATCATGCGAAAATACATTCTCTACGTCCAAGAGCGTATCGAGACATTAGGCCTTTGTTGCAAGTAATGCAATCGTGCAGAGCCATGCCACGTGGTAGAGCGATTTAAGGTTATGATAGCCTTAACAGGATGTGACAGGCAAGAGACGCTCCACCGCGACTGCCGTGCAGTCCGCGTCGTGGACCTCGCGTGCGACCGCGATTACTCAGTCAGTGAGGCTGTCGAGAGGTTTTGGGTTGCAGATTGCAGGCTGCTTCATGTTTAAACCGTGGGATTTACTAGTTCACGTCATGCCGTGACTGGTCGGGTCGACAGATTCATTTGCGATTTTTCACGCCCTTTTTCTCAATATTCTACGTAGACTCATTTGGTACGCACGATTGCACCACAAGTAACAAGGCGCCGTTTGAGAGACAAGCGTCGAGCTCAGTGCTTGACTAATTTACAGGGATAACGAAGGCTGGCCCTCGTTGCTGGAAACGCAGCAAGCCCTGCTAGAGGTTCTCGCGGAATTCACTCAATCCGCCAAGAGCGTCGAAGAATGGAGCATGGGTCTCGTCGACGCCAGGTTCGAGCTACTCGCTGATTATTGGAATGACTTCCAAGCCAATCATAAGGATCTGATTCAGGGCGCACCTGTGGACAAAGTTGCCTCCTTGAGAGCCCTGTACAGGTCCGCAGAGGGATACTACCTCGACGCTAAGGCGTGCCTGTATGACGCTAGGAGTCGGCTGTTCCTGACCATGCCAGGAGGTGGTGGCCAGTTATCACTCCCCGGACCGCTCCCTGGACCGCACTCGGGCCCTCGCCTGCCGAGCATCAATATCCCGCTCTTCTCTGGTCGTCGCGAAGATTGGCAGTGTTTCCGTGACCTGTTGCAGGCGCTCATTCACTAGGATGCTCGGCTCACCGACGTCGAGAGGCTTTACTACCTAAAGGCAAACGTGCAGGGTGAGGCAAAAGCAGTTCTGGACACCTTGCAGCTCGTTGGCTCCAATTATTCCACGGCCTGGAGTCTTCTTGTCTCGCGGTTCGAGCATAGCCGCCTCTTTATGCAGGACCACGTCACGGCACTTCGAACGCTCAAGCCTCTGCGCGAGGAGTCCGCTGCTGGTCTGCAGGGCTTGCTCGATGCCTTAGAAAAGCACCGTGATCAACTGCGAGTGCTCAATCAGCCGGTAGAACATTGTAATGTGTGGATGGTCTCTTTTGCCTCGACCGCCATGGACCCTTCGACTCGGAGAGTCTGGGAATACGAGCTCGAGAAGTTGGAGGCAGCCAGCTCTGTACAAGGGGAAGCGGCCTCCTTCGCCACTTTGTTCAGCTTTCTGCGGAGGCGTAGCCGCTCACTGACTTCAATAGAAGCCTCGCGCCCTCCCCGATCGACGAACGATCCTGTACGCTCGACCGCCAGTCGCCCTCCCGCGCGGACGCCACTCAGCAGCAACCACCGATCTTTAGCCACCCACGCAGTCAACGATGACTGCCCTGCTTGCCACGCACCGCACTACGTAGGTTACTGCAGCCGTTTCCTGGAACTGGACGCGCTTGGGCGAAGGGGTTTTGTCGCTCAGCACATGCTGTGCTTTAACTGCCTGAAGCCGGGCCATATGGCAACTGTCTGCGCTTCCCAAAGCGTATGCCAATATTGCAAGACGCGGCATCACAGCCTCATCCATGATGGCGGTCACAAGCGCAGGGCCGCGCCCGACCCAGCACCAGCTGAGGCAAAGTAGTGTCTCTTCACCTCGGACTCCAAGGACCGGATCGACGCGGCAGCTGCTTCACCGTTGTGACTAGCCGTCTTGCCCACGCTCAAGGTTCAGCTCATGGGCCCCGGGGAGTGGGCAGTCACAGCAAGAGCACTCGTCGACGCTTGTTCAGAGGTTTTAATCACATCCACTGCACTTGCTCGAAAGCTTGGCGCCAGTCCCGAGCCAGCCGTCACGAGCATCTCTGGCGTCGGAGACGCTGTCTTTATGCACTCCCCAACGATTGCAAGTTTGCATCTCCAAACCCGGAACTGAACCCGGAAGTTGTGGCTGACTGCGTACTGCTTGCCCCAAATGGGACTCCTCACCCCCTCCGGACCGTTACAACCAGCCGTCATCAAACTCTGGAACGATTTACCAGATCTTTCAGACCCGACCTTTGGAATACCGGGCAGCGTCGATATCCTACTTAGAGCCGACGTGTACCCCCATCTACTACGGCCAGGGCAGTTATTCCGTGGAGATCTCGTCGGACAGCTCACCGTTGCCGGCTGGATGCTCGCTGGTCATGTACCGGGCCAAGCGACCTCGTCCTCGCCGGCTGCTTGCATGTCGACACAGGACACCTCAGCTCCGCCTTGGCACGAGCAGCTAATCGCACTGATGCAACGGTTTTGGGAATTGGAGGACGAACCACAGGTAATTCGTCAATCTCCTAAAGACATCGAGTGCGAGGTCATCTTTGCCGATCATCATCGGGCTGCGGACGGGCGCTATGTCGTCCGCCTCCCGCTCAAGCACGACGAAATTAAGCGACTAAGAGAGAGCTTAACCAGCGCTAAAGCATCCCTTCGTTCGCTACAGCGCAGATTGCGGAGTGCCCCGGAGATGGATATCGAATATGCACGCTTTATAGACGAGTATCTTAGGTGCAGGCACATGCGGTTACTGACCGACGTGGAGCTGCGTGAGTCGTCGGGCCTAGTGCATTATATCCCGCACCATGGCATCTGGCAAGCTGGCGACCACCGCAAGAAACTGCGCATCGTATTCAACGCATCGCGACCGACATCCACTGGCTATAGCCTCAACGATATCCTGCACGCCGGACCGAAGCTCCAAGCCTGCTTGCCGACTGTCTTGCTCCGCTGGAGAAGGCATCGGATTGCTTTCTGCACGGACATCCAGATGATGTTTCGGCAGATCTGGATCGACAAGCGTGACGTGGAACTCCAGCGTATTCTGTGGAGCACTGATGACTCTAGCCCGCTGAAGCACTATCAGTTGCTTACTGTGTCCTACGGTGAAGCTAGTGCTCCCTATATCTCTCTACAGACGATTTTCTAGCTATGCGAGGATGAAGGCCATGCTTGGCACGAGGCCGTGCCTATCGTCAAACAAGATCGATACGTCGATGATATTCTCTATAGCGCTGACAACATTGAGACAGCTCGTCTTCGCCGCGACCAGCTGATCGGCTTGTTGCAAGCTGGGGGCTTCCCTCTGAGGAAGTGGGTGGCCAACGATCCGGAGCTGTTGCGTGATCTCTCTCCAGATGCCCGACTAAGGCCGACCTGGCGACAGCTCAGTGCAGACGGTCTTGTCAGGGAACTCGGCGTCAGCTTGGACCCGATTGACGATTGCTTCCACCTCACGCCGCCTACCCTACAGCCACGGCCGACCAAGCGCGCGATGCTTGCCGCTCTAGCACGACTCTTCGATCCCTGTGGATGGATCGCGTTCGTTGTCTTAGCTGCCAAAATGATCATCCAGGATCTCTGGCGAGCGCGACTCGAATGGGATGAGCCCGTGCCTGCGGCCATGGCCCAACGCTGGAACAGATTTCTGACTCAACTGCAGAATGTCCCCAGCATTGCCATTCCTCGCTGGATCAGCTGCAGTCCCGCCACTAGTTTGCAACTCCACGCATTTGCAGACGCGAGCCGGCGCGCGACGGCTGCTATCGTGTACTCGCGCGCTGAGAATCCAGCCGATGGTGTCTGCGTGAGTACTTTGATGTTCAGGACCAAGTTGACCCCCATCAGAAGCTTGCAGCCAGACGCCACTAGTCCAACACGTATGACGATCCCTCGATTGGAGCTACGAGCGGCACTGCTTGCAGCGAGGCTGCTACGCATGGTTGCCGAGAAATATGCTGTGAGCGTTGATCACTGTCACGCCTGAAGCAACTCCCAGATCGTGCTTCACTGGCTCCGATCATCGGAGCTGACAAACAACTCATTGATCGACAATTACGTGGCTCACATTCAGGAGCTTCTGCCCTCCCACGTATGGAGATATGTTCCGATGGACTCTAATCCAGCGGATGTGGCGTCCCGGGGCTAGGATCTGTTCACGCTTCAGCGAATGCGTGCTTGGTGGGAAGGCCCTTCTTGGCTCGCGGGCCCTCTTGACTTGTGGCCAGCCGAAAACGCAAAGTTGCCTAGCTCCTGCAACCCAGTCATCGACGGCGCCCTCCAATATTATTGTGATATTCAATGCACTGCACCAAATCTGCTCGAGAAGTTCTCAGACCTTGGCCGTCTCCTACGCTTTCTCGCTCGACTGCGTCGCTGGATCCGTCGTCGGCTACGTCGAGATCCTGTTTCCTCGCCTTTCGCCCCTCTGACGACGATTGAGCTGCGCGATGCCTACCTTGCCTGCGTCCGCCTCAGCCAGCGACAATTCTTCGCGCTAGAGATTGCGAGCTTGCAAAAGGGCAGCCGTGTCCCTGCGAAAAATCCACTGCTGTCTCTAGACCCGATCTTCTCCGATGAAGTCCGTCGAGTTGGCGGTCTTCTCCAACATACTGCGCTCACCTTCGATGAGCAGCATCCGCCAATCCTCGACAGCTGATGCAGCCTCGCTTGGCTTATTATCCAGTGGGCTCATGCTCGTGCTCTTCACGAAGGAGTCAGAGTCACCAGCGCCTATGTGGCTCGCAAGGCCTGGATTGTTGGCGGGCGGCGGCGAATCAAAAACATTCTTCAGGGATGCGTGGTCTGCGCCTGACTGCAGACATGGCCTGCCACTCAAAACATGGCACCACTACCGGCCGCACGGGTTACTCCTGCTCGAGCTTTCTCTCGCACTAGAGTTGACTACGCTGGCCCATTCAACATTTTGTCTGCAAAGGGCCGAGGCATCCGCACAAGCAAGGGCTACGTCGCGATCTTCGTCTGCATGACCACCAAGGCGTCACACCTTGAGCCCGTTGGTGATCTCTCCACCGAGTCATTCATTGGAGCGCTCACAAGATTCTGTGCCTGGCGCGGTCGGCCCTTAGAGATCTGGAGTAATAACGACACCTGCTTCCGCGCCGCAGACCGTGAAATGCGCGAGGCTCTCCAGGATGCCGAAATAAAGTGGGAGCGTGTTCCTGGCTCACTGGCTGAACAAGGCGTCACGTGGCACTTCATTCCTCGACGGGTGCCCCACTTCGGCGGACTTAGGAAGGCCGGTGTCAAAGCAATAAAACATCATCTCCGTCGTGCCCTTGAACTGCGCAACCTCACCTACGAGGAGTTTTCCACCGTTTTGGCCAGCATCGAGGCGGTCCTCAAAAGCCGCCCTCTCACTCCATACACCAGAGGCTTAGATGATCTGGACATCCTCACCCCTGGACACTTCCTCGTCGGTGGCCCGCTGAATTCTGTGCTTCAGGCCAGTACCCCGCTCGAGAAGCTCGATCGCCTAAGTCACTGGAAACTGGTCCGGGGAATCCGAGACCAGTTCTGGAGCCGCTGGAGCCGCGAGTACTTGAACACGCTCCAACAACGACCCAAGTGGAAGGTCCCACGTCGTAATTTCCAGGTTGATGACGTCGTCGCCGTGGTGGACGCTACGCTCCTCCAGTCTAGCGGCACATGGCCGCTCGGTCGCATCATCTCGGTTCATCCTGGACCCGACGGGCTCGTTCACGCCGCCACCATCCAGACCGCTACTGGTGAATACACCCGTCCCATCAGCAAGCTCTCTCTACTGCCCGTCCGATCGCCTAGTGCCGGCGACGCCGCCTCCAAAGACCCAATGGCCGAATCTGACCCAGGTACGGCGGATGGAGACTAAGATCGTTCACGGAACGAGGCGGGCAGGTTGTGCAAGATTTGTCTTGCGCGCCCATGCCCTCCCCACCCCCTCTTTCTGCTCAAAGAAGAGGGAGCTGCTGCTCGCTTGGTCTCTGCCAGCGCGAACGTACTGATTTTTTGAGTGGAGCCAACGTGTGTGCACGCCTCGACCTCCTGCTTCGCTAGGGACTCTCGAACCGGACCTCCACGTCGATCTGCCTACTTTAAAATATCTGTTACGGCTGATCTGCCGATCTTGTATTTACTCGACGTCCTAATAAAGAGTAATTTAAACAAGCTCTGCTCAGCTGTTTGAATCAAGTAAAAATGTCAATCTTTTGATTAAAATTATTAAAAAACCATACTGCTGAAAATACATTTTTTCAATTATTTAATGCATAATATTACTTTAAGTAATCTGTTGGTTGTTAGTGAATATTCATCGTTTTTTGTCTCAATATTCAGTGTTTACTTTGCTCTCAAAATCACTTTATCTATGACACGTGTGGTAAAACTATAAGCTTTAAAAGATAATATTTTCGCCACGGCATTGCTTAACCTTTTGAAATTTTAATAGTTGATGAAAAATAGCTGGACAAATTTATGCTTGAATTTTCAAAAAATTATGTTATTTCTTAATTTTATCAACTACTACCTTTAAAGAAATTTTCTTGTCAACAATAATAACAAAAAGTTATTGATTAAAAAAAAAAAAAAAATAATGAAAAATATTAAGATGCTTTAATTACTGCAGGTATCAAAATACGATGTAGGAACTGCTAGTAATACCAACTAATCCAACGTCTACACCATAATTCAACCTGTCACAAGTATTACAATTTCTAAATCTATCTGGTAAACCGGTTGTGAACTTAAGTTTTATTCCATATCATTATTATTAAATGTATTTGTGTTGAAAACAAATAAGTATAATTTGTTGCGTATAAATCACTAAAAAATATTTTCTGCTCCAGGTTTACAACGAAAAAGTGGTTTTCTACACAACTGCTTTTATTAAGGAACATACTGTTTATAAATTCCCCTGTAAACTCTTAGTATTTCCACTTGGTACATCTAGAAAAGTGGTTTTCACTTTTAAAAATGGAGATCAGCTCCTTAAATTTTTGAACCATCAGTAAGTATCTTCAAAAAAAAATTTAATAATGAGAAGTCATAACAATGTCTTTTTTCCAGTATTCGGAAATACAAAGAAAGTGGTTTACTATCTTCAAAAAAAAAACTACATTTTATAAAAAAAAAATCCATAAATAATGATTCATTGTGTATTACTGACGTCACCCCGTTGCTAGTACTATTAATTAGTGGATTTGTCTTAAGCTTAATAATATTTTTATTTAAAAAGTATCATAGGCACTTAATATTATATTTAGTAAGGAAACCATGCAAGAAAATAAAAAAATTTAGGAAAACTAAGAAAACCCATACTTTATATAACAATGGAAAAAAATTTTCAGTTTACTCTCAATACAAAAATGCGCAACAGCGCCCTCCATGGCCTTATACCCCATAAGAACAGCATTGGCTGCGATAGTTTAAAGTACAAACTGTATAAACAAGACATTAATCTGACACATATATTATTTATGGCAATAAAAGGGGTGTAATATTAATTGTATAATGATTGTCATATTTTATAAGGTAATTAATCTAGTAAGAATATACCTAATAAAAAGACAATTTAACTTAATTAATACAAAAAATCTGAGAACCCACAGGTTGTCTTATTGGTGAACGTCGATTTAATACATTTTTATTATAAGTCTAAATAAAATAGTTGTGATACTTAGTGTAAATTTTAAAAAGGAATTCTTTGTTCTAGAAATGTATTAGACTATTATGTCATTATAAAATAAAATATTCAAGTATAAGTGAGACTTTTATTTATGACAATTTAGTCAGAATTTTTGTTTGTGGTAACCTTGTGTGTATCACGAAATTCCACAACTTACATCAGCTCTTATAGCAAGAAATAGTAATAAGATCCATGTTTTCTCTATACTATTCAACAAATCTGCCATAAACTTATATAAATTTATACACAGCTTACAAAGGATTTCAACTGTCATTTGTTTATTTTTTATTCTAATAAATAAGGTCAGCACTACAAAGGCTCTAATATATTGTGCTCATACTTGTGAATAAAATAAGATTTTTAAATAAAATGCAATCTCTTTATGCTTTAATTTTTTTTTTTTCTCCATTTAGGTATTCAATTATTTAAAACTTTTAACATTTTTAATTGTCTATTCTTAAACATCCGGCTTATTTCTTGAAGAAAAACGAATATACAAGACGTCGTCGGAGTAAAATCCTGCCTCGATTCTTTCCAAATCACACTCATCTGGAATGTCATACGTCAATATGGTTTCGTCTTTTTGAATTTTTTTGGTACCCTGAACTAATATCAATTTACCTCGGACCTAAAAGATAAAAACATTGTTTTAACTGACAACTATAGATAGATAGGCGGATGAAGAATGAGATTATTAATAATCTATTAGTGACGATAAAACTTGTTAAAATTGCTTGGTATTATACTTAGATTAGATAGAAAAATATTTTTGGGGCATCATTATGATTATTTTTCAATTTTAATCTTAATTTTTTTCTAAATAAATATGCAACACAAGAAATTGCTATAACTTTGACGCCTTGCATTTTACTGTATGGCAACGAATTTTAGTTGATTGAGTGTATTTTAAAATAATAAAAAAAAATTCGAATGACGTATTTCCAGCAATAGTTATTAATAAATTAATTGTTACAGTTACACACTTAATAATTTCTACGTACATTAACAATTTAGAACAAAGTATCATACTTGAATACTTTGACGAGCTGTACTGTTTTTGGAACAGAAGGTTGCATGAATTTAGTCGTTGATGAATGGGGAAAAATAGATATTCTCTCCGATGTAAAAACATTTGAAAATGCCTGCTAAGTACTCTGTACTTCATACTTAAAAAGCTTCTTAATGGAAAGTACTCTCTCTTACGGTAAATTTTTCTTAACAGCTTTACTTTTTTTTCACCACTCTGCAGCTGCATATTCTCTGTCTAAATATAAAATAAATCGCTTGTATACGAAAGGATGAAT